GAGACAATCTCCTTCCCCCATCCACAGAAGAACTGCCGACCCCAAGTGTCAGTGATATACTCTTCTCAGAAGGCATTGTCCAAAAAGAATTAGAAGCATTGAACTAATCGAAGTCGCCAGGACCAGACGAAATTCCACCCAGGCTTCTCAAGGAACTTGCCAGTGAGCTGTCTGTGCCTTTGTCGATGCTCTTTAAAATGTCATTTGACACTGGAACAGTTCCTATTGATTGGAAGCTGGCGCTTATTACTCCGCTACACAAAAGAGGTAACAGGACAGCGACGACAAATTACAGGCCCATAAGCTTCACATGCATTCTCTGCAAATTTATGGAAAGGATCATAAAGACTGAACTGATGCAATTCCTGGAAGTTAACGGCCAGCTATTGAAATGCCAACATGGATTCAGGAAAGGAAGATCCTGCACGACAAACCTGCTGCAATCTCTCCGGAGCTGGACCCGACCTTTTGACGAGAGGTACGCGGTCCACATAGCCTTCGTCGACTTCCAGAAAGCGTTCGACACTGTGCCACACCAGAGGCTTTTCCATAAACATAAAAAATAGGGATCAGTGGCAACTTCCTTAAATGGATTGAAAACTTCCTTTTGGGTCGACAGCTTGTTGTCTGCATCGGTCGGGGAAAATCAGACCCTGATATGGTCGAGAGTGGTGTCTCCCAGAGTTCAGTACTGGGACCCATTTTGTTCCTTATCTACGTGGCCGATGCCGCAAGAGCTTTAGACTTCGAAGTAGCAATTTTGCCGATGACATGAAGATATGGAGTGTAATTCGGGGTTCTGCCGACAAAGACAGACTGCAGACGAACCTGAATCGGTTGGAGGAGTGGTTAAGTCGTTGGCTCTTGCGGTTCAACGTTGCCAAATGTAGCATTCTTCGCCTAAGCAACACAGCCAGATCCGCCAGCACAAGAAACTACTTTCTGGGCGGTGCAGCCTTAAAAGAGGTCGAAGCCCAAAAGGACCTCGGTGTGCTGACGACCAGTTCCCTAAAGCCATCTGCCACCGCTCGAGAGTGGCAAAATCATCAATGTCCGTACTGTACGCCATCAACCGTGCGGTTACGGACTTTGACGAAGATGTTTCCCCAAAGACATTCGAACATTCGTACGACCGCATTTGGATTACGGCATACAGGGCTGGAGACCGTGGGCGGTTGAGGATCAAAACTGCCACGAAAGAGTCAACAGGAGAGCCACGAAGATGGTTAGGGCTCAAAGCTCCTTTCCTTATGCAACCCGCCTAGTAAATCTGAACCTCTTTCCTTTGAGTCACAGGCAACTTTGCGGGGATGTCCTGCAAGCCTTCCGCATTGTTAAGGGGTTGGATTGCAGTCTGGCCTTCCAGGACGTTTTTGAATTTGCCTCCGAGGACACCCGCTAAAACTGCGCACTACGCAGGCAAGGCTGGATTTGCGGAAGTTCTCCTTCTCTGTTAAAGTGGTGAAACCATGGAATGTCCTTCCCGCAGATGTTGTGATGTCGCCATCTATACAAAGTTTTAAAAAGAAATTGGACATATTTATGGTTCGAAATGACCAAGAGCGGTGAGAAGTAGAGCTCACGCAAAGTAACTCGTTCTGTTTTGGTCCTACCATCATGGGTGTGTTTGAACTATTTCAGCCCAGAACATTTATCTGTATACCACACATTTTTACGTTGCAAATAGGGTACTTGAAGGCTTACACCTATTTCCCTCAATAAACTAAACTGAACTGCACATGTCAGGTATCATTTACCACGTCAACTGCCTAGACTGTCAGGCCAACTATTGTGGCCAACTATTGTGGCCAACTATTGTGGCCAACTATTGTCCGCCTCACACTTTCGACAAGCACACTTTAACCGTCAAGCGGAAAGAGGCACGCTCACACATCGCCATGCACAGTCTGTAAACTGACCATCGGTTTGATTTTGACGGCGCCCAAGTGCTTAGCTGAGCGGAAAGCGAGAGAAATAATCGAGGCCGGCAAACAGACGTCAACTCCATCAACCGCAGTGTCAAACCGCCACAATATTACGAGGCCGCCAAACACCACTTACGCACCAAGAGATGCTCAATGAGGATAGTCATTGATGGCCATATCAGAAAAGAACGAATGGGATCTGCTTAAGCCGTGTAATTTTTTCGTATTTCCTATCTCCGATGATACGCTCGAGTATGATTGTGAAAAGTCGGATGAATAAATCATCATCCACGGAGCTCGCCTTTATTTCTTCGTCAATATCAATAGTTGGGGTCAGCATTTTCGCCTATATCCATATTCATGCATTGGTGCACGATTCGGCCAATCATAGCAGCACATTCCCGACACGCTTAAATAGTTAACTGTCTTTGTACATAGCCGAAATTCTGACAGCGAGCTCGGGAAACAGACTCGAAAATTTACGCATTAAATTTGATTCTCTTCCAAAAGCATCTCCCTTATGATCAATTTAATTTATTGGGGTAGTTTTTTTCCAGCATACACACACGAGTGAGTTCCGTAAGGTTAATCGATGAGCGCCCCTCTATCACTGCATGTTCCCGATCGAAACCGACAATACAGCGAGCCCGTGGCCCGGTGATTATAGGCGTTAACTTCTAATTAACAGCCCGAGAGTGCTGGCGTGTTAGTAAGAAGTCCAACGCCCTTAACCACTGAGCAACGGACTTGTTGTATTGCCGATTTCGATCGGGCCTATGCACTAGTAGAGGGGCACACACAAATTGTGCATACTGAAATCACTCATTTAGATGTGCCTTACGGACTCGCTATCTCGACAGGCTGCCGATGGCTTATAAGCCAAAAATAGCCACATTAGCCTCCCAGCCACAGGGAGTGAACGCTGTAAAGGGAGTGAGTCACATCTCCATATAAACCCTCATTACACCGGCCAATGGTAGCCCAGTCGAAAATGACAGTCCTATGGGAAGTCGAGCTGACTTCCTCTACCTTTGATGAAGGCTCCATTGCTAAAGTATGTGCTTAAGTAGCAGTCTAATGATTACGCCTCGTCTCCCCTATTATGGTTCTTCCTATGTAGAAGCCTTTCCATCAAAGGTCCATAACACCCACATGGTTACTTATTTAAAGCTGGGGGCGACTAGCAAGACGACGACAACGACAACGACGGCTGATACAATTATGTTGGCCTAGACTACTATGTGTCGCCACAGAGTCCTACCAGAAATGGCGCTGAGTACAGGACTGAGTTCGGAGCTATCCGTTAGCTTCTTCGAATGTCTGTCATGCCCTTTAAGCAACCAGCTGTGTAGGCATTAGCGCGGGTTCATTCTCCAATTCATGCAGCCAGAAACGACCGTTCTGTTTCCTCTGGCCCCTGTCGGCATTACTTACTGCACTATTACCACTCGTAACGTGAATGTCTGCGAAGGCTCTTGAATGCGTTCCATGGCGCGGCGGATAATCATGTCCTGCAGCCCGATGCAGAAACATTCTTCCAGCATACATAGTTCAGTATATTTAAGGGTAGTAGACAGCATCTTTAAGAACCCTACAGAAAGTGTAGCAAAAATATGCAAGTTAAGATGTCATCAGTATCATATCCATTTTATTTAATATTATTTTAAACATGTGGAACTGGAAACCTCATTTGTGGGGAATAGTTAAGGCGTTATAAAATAAACTATCACATGTACCTAATTGGTTTCTTTGTTTCATATATACTTGGCGCTGAGTAGGACTAGTTAGTGCACCGACAATGTTAAACGTGGTTGGGAAGTATTCAGTAAATACTAGGAATCTGGATATTCCACGATCCCATGTGGAATAATACAACGTATACTAGGGGGAATTCAGTCAGGGAAAGACCGATATCGTAGATGGGCGTCAATAACGCGGAAAGAGTGGCGTCCTCCTGCGTGTTGTTTATCGGGGAGGGGCAACAGGGGGCTGCGACGACCATGACATTTCGACCATCGATTATGATGATGTCCACCGTGTGCCCCACAGCAGGTTGGAGCAGGGACGGTGACTTGCGCAGGGGTTTATAGTGCGGATAGACTTGCGCTGCATCTACCTACACTCTCTCCACCTCCCTCGCCCGAGCCCGGTGTCAAGACAGAGTCAAGAAGACCGGAGACGAGGGAGGCCGCAGGTGGATGGCTCGGACGGATCCTCACCTTAGCGTTCCACCACACCCCCTGGTCCACACAACAATAACCAGGATTTCAACCAACACAACAGAGATTTGGAGGCTGGCACGGCCGAAGCCGCACCTAGGCGTGCCGCCAACGCCTGGCTCGGATCCCACACTGTGGTGGGAGTGCCATAAAGGCCACATTAAAAAGGAGCCATTGCAGCCTGACTATCAGGCCGCCTCCCGTTAAGGAGGAGGTCCAAGTTACCCCGTCAGTTGGCAACCTTCCAAGCCACGGCTTTTTGCGCACCGTGATAGCTTCAAGCGCGTCAGATTGATTATAGTGAGGAAAAAGTGCGCTGAGTCGTCGACCTCACTCTCCCTTCCCATCCCCACACTCCAGCCGCCGTCCGAGCCGGTCGGCAAACTGGAGTGGTGGATGGGCACGGTGGCTGCCACGGTCGACTGACCGTGACTGCGCGCGCCACAGCACGACCTGACCCCCCATACACACACAAACACCAGGATTTCACACAACGGGGGTTGAACGGCGTGTCTCTCACTTGCGTGAGAGGGCCGTGGAAGGTGCTGCTTCAGCCCGTTCCCAGCCCACCAGTCCGCCACTCCACACAGCACACACACACAACGCGACGAACTGCGTGAACCGAGAGCGGGCATCAATCATCAACCTTCCTATCCACGACACTTGAAGTGTCGGGATAGTCTCGGACTCAAATCACCCGTACAGCCGAAACCCCGTGGGAACCGAAACGAGGTGCACACTTCGCACTTGCGTGGAAGGTGGCAGTTGGTGCATGCGGTGGGTAAGTGTTGATGTGTGTTGGTGATGGTGGAGGAGGGTAGGGAGTGTGTGGATGTGTGGTGTAACCGGCGGTTGTCTACCGCAGGTCGTCGTGGATGCGCATGTGGCCGAATAGGCCCATGCGGTGCCTGAAAGTGCGAGGACAGTGTGGACAGTTGAGACGAGCTTGGTGGGTGTAGGTTGGTGCTCCAGGCACTGGTTCTCCGGTCTCTGTGCGATGGATTCGCAAGTGACCGACCAGGCCGATGCGTGAGGTGAGTGTGCGTGGACAGTGTGGGCACGTGAAGTTGGCGGTGTCAGAATCAGCTACAGAGGAGGCGTTGGTGGTGGCGCAGGTGGACGGTGCGAGGGTGGTGCTAGGCCTAAGGGGCGTGGTTGGTGTGTCGGAATTGTGGTCGATTCCGCTCTCGTGAATGCGCATGTGGCCGAATAGACCCATGCGATGCGTGAAGGTGCGAGGGCAGTGTGGGCAGTGGAGGCGAGTGCGGTGGGTGTAGGTTGGTGCTTCAGGCACTGGTTCGCCGGTCTCTGTGCGATGGATTCGCAAGTGACCGACCAGGCCGATGTGTGAGGTGAAGGTGCGGTCGCAGTGAGGACAGGTGTAGTCCTGATTCTCATTGCTGGAGTCTGGAGATGCTGCTGGAGAGATGCTGACATCTCTCCATAGTCCAAAAGACATAGTTGACCATCCGAGAAGTTGACTTCAGCGATTACATTTATTGACTGTACCATAACGTAAACTGGTGGCATTGCCCTCTCATAATTATTGATTACATGCGTGGAAAATAATCTTTGAAATTGAAAGCGTCGTTGGAATAGCTAAAGTTCATCTGAAACAAGGCCGGGTAGTGATGCGCTTGTTCACGCATTTTAGGAAGCGGCTGTCTTTACAACCTCGTTTGATGAGGGTGTTCGAGTTTCAAACTAGACACAAATTGCTAAGGACGATAATCACTAGGCATAGCACCACTGACACTGTCTTGTTTAGATTCAATCATATTTTCATTCTATGATGATTGGTCATTGACGTTGCACGGATTACCACAGAATGTGCGGGTTACACAGAACTATGACCATTTCCACGAGCCGAACCGCATGAGAAACAATTCAGCTCTGAAGGTTATGTTTCCCACACTCGACACTTTGAAGTCTATTAAACAGACAGACTAATACAATATTTTTGAAAAACCGAAAAACAACGAAAAAGTATTCAGATGGAAAGGTATGAGAAGGATCCAGTAAGTTGTACTATATTAGATGGTGAATCTTAGTCTTCGATCTGTACGCACGAGAAGCAGGGAGAAGTAAACAAGTGAGGTATCTTCTGGACTTTACTATAAACACCCGTGCGGTTCATATACTTCCAGAACGCTTATATCACATCGTGACATTTGAAAAACCCGTGGTTACGGTGTGTGCTTTTCGCGATGACTGAGTCGCTTAAATATGAGGATTTTACATCACTTATTTACAGGTTTGTGCGCAAATATTTACAAAAGTGTGCGAACGAAAGTACAGTCACATAATGGATACATGCAACGTACCTGAGCTTCAGTCAAACCCTCAGCCTCCATGAGGCATTCCAGTAGTGTGTACCTGCGATGACCATAGCCCCGCCCAAATGTGTCGTTGATCCCTCGGGCCCCGAAGGATTGACGGGGCCAGGCGGGGCTGCCGCTAACAGGCAACACTCCTCCCCATTATTGGTAGGTACATACAAAGCGCTGGCTTCATCTAACAGAGCTTCTAGTTTACTCGGAGATTACTAAGCAA